GAAAGAGGGAAAGAAGGAGAGAAAGGGAGAGAAGGAAAGAAGGCGGGAAAGAAAGAAAGAAGGAAAGAAAGAGGCTTCTTGCTCCTCGTGGCCTGGGGCTGCTGGGAGCAGGGGGTGGGGCTTGTTGCATGTGCCCGCCCCCTGGGCTCTTTACTGCTCCTGTGCGCTCTTGCAGGAAATGACCCCTGGTACTGCAATCCAGGGCTGCCAGACAGAAGGTGAGCTTGGGGGGGGGGGAAACACAATAGACCAGGAGGATCCTGACAGCCACCTATTGGAATGTGATTAGTGGGTAATAGCCTCTGGTTGGGAGTGGGTGTGTTTGGGGTGTGCCGTTTGATGGAATTATAAGCAGGGCTTCGGCCCTGCTGGAGTTGTGTTGTAGTCCGAGCTGATCCACACTAAAGCATGAGCTGATCACGAGTCGCGTGTCGAACCCAGTATATTTCGAGTAGTTTGTGCAAACGTGCAAAAAGATTTATTTCATTTATTTATTTTTATTTTTCACATTTATATCCCACCCGTCCCATGAGGGGCTCAGGGCGGAGTACGTCAATTTCAGTAAATACCATAAAATCTAAAACACAATATAAACATATACGATACAATTTAAAACACGTTGTGAACATATAAACGGTAGTCATCGCTGACCGTTAGGAGTTTCTGGCCCGGTTAATACAGATAAATGTGGCTGGTTATCAGTGGATGGGTGATATTTGAATATTTATTTATTTATTTATTTATTTATTACTTTAACTTTTACCCTGCCCTCCCCGCCAAGGCGGGCTCAGGGCGGCTTCCACAAAACTGATTAACAATATACATTCTGCAAATGATAGGTAAAGTAAAAGTAAAGGTTCCCTTGCTCGAAAGCCAGTCGAATCCGACTCTAGGGTTGCGGTGCTCCTCTCCGTTTCCAAGCCGAAGAGCCAGCGCTGTCCGAAGATGTTTCCATGGTCATGTGGCTGGCATGACTAAACACCAAGGCGCACGGAACGCTGTTCCCTTCCCACCGAAGCGGTCCCTATTTATCTACTTGCAATGTCTTGCTTTCGAACTGCTAGGCTGGCAGGAGCTGGAACTAGAGACGGGAGCTCACTCCGTCATGCGGCACACTCGGGTCTCGAACTGCTGAACTACCGACCATCCACAGCCTGCAGCTCAGCGTCTTAACCACTTGCAAATGATAAAATACAATAAATCATTTAAAACACAGACAGATCAATTTAAAACATAACTTCGATGGCGATAGCAATAAAGTGCAGTTTAAGGACACATTCAGCGGTGCCGCCGCGCTAGGTCATGCTGGGTCTGAGTTCACTCAGGGCGCTGCTGGTAAGACGCCGCTCCTAACGGAACGCCTGCCTAAAAAGCTCCGTTTTCACGGCCCTGCGGCACTGTGAAAGGTGAAAGGTGTTTCTCATCAAATATTAGGTGTTTCTCCTCATTTAGAAACAGTTCAATTACCCTGGGGCTGACTCAGGTTTGGGCAATAGATGCAGGGGCTGAGCCCTGCTTGGCAGACGCGTAACCAGTTGCTCTCTGGCTCTTCCGCAGGTGCGGCCCCTCTTCTACCTGAGCATCTCTGACCTCTGCCTGGGGATGTGCTGGCTCACAGGGGCTCTCCTCTACAGCAACATGACCACCGAGACGCCAGACCAGGAAGCCGCCTGCTATAACCTTCAAGCCACTGGACAGGTGAGGCAGCCGTGGCCCTTGGCCTTGCCGTGAACGGTTGGATAATATGCCACATTCTCCAGGGAGGTAGGCAGCTGCTTTGGGGGCCAGCTGGACAGGGGTGAAAACTAGGGTTACCGACTCCAGGTGGGGCTTGGAGATCTCCAGGAATTACAACTGATCTCCAGGCGAGATCAGTTCCCCTGAAGAAAATGAGCGTTTTGGCGCACGGACTGTTTGGCATGATACCCTGATGAGGTCCTTCTCTTCCTCAGACCCCGCCTTTTACATGTCCCGCCCCCTGAATCTCCAGGAATTTCCCAGTCTGGAGCTGGCAGCCCTAGGAATTTGGTCTGCCCACGCCGAAACTAGGGGTTTGGGTCAGTGGCACTCAATGTTCCCTCTAAAGCTGTGGAGTCTTGTCAGCAAAAATTCCACTTTGTGAGCTCCTGACCTTAAAGTTGTCTGCAAGCAATTTGGCCACTGCATAAATTAGTTTGCTCTGGAGCCAACCTCCCTGAGCTCAGACAAAAAACTGTGAGCCGGAGGCTAAAAAACTGTGAGCTAGCTCGCACTAACTCAGCTTAGAGGGAACACTGGTGGCAGTAATGAAACAGCTTCTTTGTTGTGGTGGTTTGATTTGTCTCTGAATTATGTGCGTATGTGGTCAGGGTCCTACCTACCTGAAGGACCGCCTTTCCCCACATGTTCCCCAGAGAGCACTACGGTCAGGGTCGCGAAATCGCCTGGCCCTCCCTGGCCTTAGGGACGCCAGGCTGACATCAACGAGGACCAGGGCTTTGTCTGTGGCCGTTCCAGCTTGGTGGAATGAGCTTCCGGAAGAGATCAGGGCCCTGCGGGACCTTGCACAGTTCCGCAGGGCCACAAAAACGGAGCTCTTCGGCCAAGCATTTAGGTAAGGAGCTGTATTTCACCATCTATGCCCTGTGTCCAGGGGTCATTTCCTGCGGGAGCGCACAGGAGCGGAGCTCCGGCAGTAAGGAGCCCAGGGGGCGGGCACATGCAACAAGCCCCGCCCCCTGCTCCCAGCAGCCCTCAGTCGGGCCACGAGGAGCAAGAAGCAGCCAAGTAAGTTGCAGAGCCCCCCCCCCCCCCGCCCCCCTTCAGGTACAAGCTCTCCCCCCTCTGTGAGGGCAGATCTGCACGTTCCTGTGCCCCAATAGCTAGAAATCCAAAACAGTCCAGTGGAGCCTGAGTGGTGGGTGGGTCAGGGGGCGTGGCATATGCAAATAAGTTATGCTAATAAGTTATGCTAATGAGCCCCTGCACTTCTTTTTCTATGAAATGACCCCTGCCTGTGTCAATACCATTTCCAGCTTGGGCCCGCCGATAGTGGATCTCACCGCTGGTTGTACGTCTTTACAAGCACTTTATCATAGCTGTACCGCCATCATTATGTTAATGGTTTTAATTACTATGTTGTGTATTTTATCTTGACATTTATACTGTTGTTTTACCTACTGTTTCTTACGTAAGCCGCCGTGAGCCTGCCTCGGCGGGGAGGGCGGGGTAAAAATCAAATCAATCAATAACTATTTGGTTGCACCAGGAAATACTTTGAGGAAGGGGGGTTATATTAGGGGGTTGGGGGGGACAGTCGTCACAGCCAGCCCCTTCTCCTGTGCCCACCTCTGGGGTTAGGGGAGTCAGAGCCCCGAGCCAGAGAGCCAGGCTTCTCTGCAGGCCAAGCTTTAGGGGGTTGGAAGGAGTTTTGTGCACCTGCCAGCAACGGAGAGGGAAGGAGACGGGGGGGGGGGGGGGGAGACAATCCCCTCCCCATCGCTGGGGGCACGCACGCTGGGAGGGAGTTCTAAATCATGTTTTTGGAATCAGTTGGCCATGCAGGAAGGTTTGCTGAGCATCCCTTTTCAATCTTCCTGTGCTTTCCAAGGGACCTGTTAGGGATGCCAGCCTCCTGGTGGGACCTGGGGATCCCTCGGAGTTACAGGGGAATTTCCAGACCACAGAGATCAGTTCCCCTGGAGAAAACGGATGCTGTGGAGGGTGGCTCAAAACCACGTTCAGGCCTCTTCCGCATTCTGATTTTAATCACTCGTTTGTCCCTTGAAGCTGCGGTTGCTCAAGTGGTTAAGGTGCTGAACTGCACGCTGTGGAAGGTCGCTAGTTCAGCAGTTCGAGACCCGAGTGTGCCACATGACAAATTGCAAGTAGATAAATAGGTACCACTTTGGTGGGAAGGGAACAGCGTTCCATGCGCCTTGGTGTTTAGTCATGCCGGCCACATGGCCACAGAAACGTCTTCGGACAGCGCTGGCTCTTCGGCTTGGAAACGGAGATGAGCACCACAACCCTAGAGTCGGATTCGACTGGCTATCGCTTCAGGGTTCCCTCCCCCCAATGTGTTTTGCTCTCTCTAGTAGTCCCAGAGGGAGCAAAACACGTGGAAAAGGGGGGACGGGACCCAAAGCAATAGGGACAAATGAGTGACAAAAATGAGAGTGCCCACGCCATACGGACTGCAGAGTCACACTGGAAGAGCCATAAATCTATCCAGACAGTACCCTAAAACCGATCAAAGTGCAGTGTGGAGGGTACCATTAAATCTGCCAATCAAAGAAAGTGAAAGTGGCATGCAATGTAGAGGGGAATTTCCGTTCCAACGTGGGTTTGGTAAAACAGCGGAGCGAATGCTAGATGGAGAGTGGGCCAAAGGCATGGTACCCCACTGGGGTCCCCGCCCTCCCCAGGCCCCAACCCCAAATCTCCAGGAGTTTCCCAACCTGGATCCGGCAACCCTGTGGCTCCCATCCCCCATCTGTTGGCCGGAAAAAAAGGGTGACACACCTACAACGCTCCCTCTAAGCTGTGGAGTCCTGTGAGCAAAAATTCTACCTTGTGAGCTACCGGCATTAAAGCTGTGAGCCAGCCATTTGGCTGCTGCACAAATTAGTTTGCTCGGGAGCCCTCCTTTCTGAGCTAGGACAAAAATGTGTGAGCCAGAGGCTAAAAACTGTGAGCTAGCTCACACTAACTCAGCTTAGAAGGAACACTGGCTCCTGCATAAGTTAGTTGGCTCTGGAGCCCTCCTTCCTGAGCGAAGGCAAAAATGTATGAGCCGGAGGCTAAAAAACTGAGCTAGCTCACACTAACTCAGCTTAGAGGGAACACTGGCTCCTGCATAAATTAGTTGGCTCTGGAGCCATCCTTCCTGAGCTAAGACAAAAGTGTGAGAGCCGGAGGCTAAAGAACTGTGAATTGGATCGCACTAACTCAGCTTAGAGGGAACACTGGACACCTGGGAATCCTAATTTTAAGGAATGTCAGCAATTTATTTGTTAAAATATTTCTGCCCGCCTCTCCCATTGGCTCAAGGCAGCTTACAAATAACAATTGAAAAATCACGGATTAAAATTAAATGGAATTTCCCCAGATACCTCTCCCTCCATAAAAGGTACCTGCCATTCATACCCCCTCGAAAGCCTTGGCAACCAGGGAGGCCTTGCAGCACTTGTCAGAGTTCTCCGCCGAGGGGGTCCCCCTCCCTTCTTCAGGAAGCCCATTCCTCAGTGTGAGAGTCGGGTGGGAAATCTGCAATGGCTTGCAAGGCATCTGGAGCTGATGAGCAGGTTATTTTGGTATTCTCTCTCTCTCTCTCTCTCTCTTTTCATCTGACAAATTCGACTACTGCAACGCTCTCTACATGGGGCTGCCTTTGTCGCAAATCCGGAAGCTGCAGTTAGTGCAGAATGCCGCGGACAGGCTCTTGATGAGTCTCCCTAGATGGGAGCACAGCTGTCCTGTGCTGAAAGCGCTGCACTGGCTGCTAATAGCTTTCCGAATCCGCTTCAAGGTGCTGGTACTTACCTCTAAAGCCCTATATGGCCAGGGTCCGACTTACCCGAGGGACCACCTTTCCCCATACATACCCCAGAGAGCACTACGGTCGGGGGCTCAACATCGATTAGTGATCCCAGGCCCCAGGGAGGCCAGGCTTGTGGCGACCAGGGCCAGGGCCTTTTCGGTGGTGGCTCCTACCTGGTGGAATGAGCTCCCGGAGGAGATCAGGGGCCTGCGGGACCTCTCACAGTTCCGCAGGGCCTGCAAGACGGAGCTCTTCCACCAGGCTTTCAACTAGGAGCCGCCACTGCCACCACCGCCAACTATTCTGTGGTAACAGCGGGGTAATTGGATGGCCCATTATAAAGATCTTGCCACAGTATCACGATGGATTGGTACCGCTGAATCAAACTCTTGAAAGATAAGTTGAAAGATAAATAAATAAACTCTTGGGTAATTATCTATAGGCAGGGCTATTTTTGGGCAGGAACGCACAGGAACGGAGTTCTGGCTGGCTCCCAAGTTGGCCACACCCAGCAGGAACTCATTAGCATAATAGGCCACACCCAAAAGGAGTTCGTGCTACAAAAAAGCTCTGGGTTTTGACAACAAACAAGGTAAACAGAATTACAAGCAAAAGGTGAGTGTGGCTGGATGACCACACTTCTGGTAACATGGGGGTGCGGCCTAATGTGCTAACGAGCTGTGTTGTCAGGGGTGTGGCCTAATATGCGAATAGGTTTCTGCTGTTGGGTGTGGCCTATTATGCTAATGAGTTCCTGCTGGGCTCTTTCTACAAACAGAGCCCTGTATAGGTCACCATCTTGATTCGATCTGAATGATGCACATCGCTGAGCGCTTTATTATTGTCAATGATGATGGTTGTTTTTATTCTGTTCTTAATGTTTTATATTGGCACATGGTTGCCTTTCTTTGTGAGCCGCCCTGAGCCCGTTCGCGGGGAGGGCAGGGTAGACATGCAACAATAAATAAATAAATAAATAAATAAATAAACAAATGCCCTCTGAATTCTGCCGTTGCATCGGCTGCTTGGGTGGCAGCTGTCGAACGCCTCTAACCGGCCTCATAAACCGGTATGTGTTGCTGCTGTACACTACCGCCAACCAAGCAGGAGACAAAAGAGCGTGTGTGCGTCAGAGTGCCCCTACCTGTGCAAGTCAAACATTGATCTTCATGGCCCT